AAGAAATGGAATAGACTTTAGACTTTTCAAAGATTTAAAAGAAAAAATAGATTTTTTTTTTATTTGTGAATAACTTTATTATGTAAAAAAGTTTAATGTTTTAGGTCAAATTTTTTGGACGAAAATAATCATTTATGTAGATAAATTTTAAATGGATTAAAGATAATTAAGCCCGCATGTGCGGGCAAAACACCTAGTTAGTAGTATTAATGATTAATCCAAGACTAATAAAATAAGCGTGATGCGTGAAAGACAAAAGCACTGTGGGTCTCATTGTTTTGTCTCATAATAGAGTAACAATACTTCAATCATATTTTATTTCTTATCTCATAATAGAGTAATGGTACCAATGAACAAGCAGGAAAATAGATTACTCAATTTACTGAGTAAAACTATGTTTTTGTTTCATTATAGAGTGAGAAATGGGATATGTTATATTCTATTTTATTCTATTTTGGTGTGAAAAACGGAATGGGTTTGGATATACCCTAACATCTCGTAAAGTGATTTAACTTGCACAAAAAGCGACACAATAAACAAGTGGAGTGAGTGTCGTGGATAAGATATTAAGATTCATAAGAAACTGAGAAATGAGACAAAAGTGAGCAGTTCAACCACTCGTAAAGAAATGGGCTTATAGAGTATATAAAATAAAATTTCCCAACAAATTAGTTTGTTCATTCCACAACATTCAGTACTATAAGTCTATAAGATAGTAGTAAGTTTTTATTGTTAGATACTGCACCATCTATTTATCGTGGGTACTTAAGAGTACCTCTTGTAATGGCCAGTGATAAAATTTTAAATTTGTTTTTGGGGAAGAGAAACGCAGAACACTAGATTCAGACAGAAGAGTCTTCACGGCGGTTGCATATTCCAAAGCAAAAATAAATAGATGACTGGTGGTAGTAATTAATAATTGAATGCTAGTTAAGAAGAAACCTCAGATTCCGAGGAATCCTATGTCAATCTCGTTCTACTTTCTCCTCGAGTAGTTGAGAGAGATGGAGCAAAATTGCGAAGAAGTCTCATTACACTGTTAAATTATTTATCTTAAGATTAGACATTAACTGCGCCTAATTGAAGACCACAAAAAGAAGAGTTGATCACAAAGTCTACTCACATCACCTAACATTCTCTGTTCTCCATGCTTTCATTTAACTATCTAACTATCTAAGATACACTTACCATCCCTAAGTCAATGCTACTGGGCTATTTGTTTTTAAGTTTCTTACAAAAATAGTTAGGCTTAATATAATGGTTTGTTCGTTTGAATAAACGACAAATGTTTTAAGTCATTGAGAACATTTTATAATTGTATAAGCACCTCAAAAAATTGTTTTGCAAACACACATAAAAGGAAATGCCAAACATAAACATTATGGATTCTTATGAAGTATAATTTTTTGATATGTGAACGCAAATCTAGTAGGAATATCCAACTCTGATTTGAAAATTCGCGACGACTAAAACCAATTTGTATAATTAGTTAACTTCCACGTTACAGTATGATCTCTTTTTAGGTTCTTGGTGAGAACTTACGTGTTTGTATTATTGTATACATACTTTCCGTTTTACTCCATATGTCGCTATTTTCTTTCTGTTTCTGTGGTGGGATACAGAAATACATAAAGTAGATTTAAAACTCACTTTCTCATTCTTTCCCTCCACCTTCTCTTGTCCGTTACCCAAAAGGAGATTTTGACGTTTGAGCTCATGCTTTGCTCGCATTTTGCTTTCTTCACAATTTTAGTGTTTATATCTTTTCAAAAAAAAAATCAAATCTCGTAATAAATTACAATTCAGTCTCTCTTAAAACAAAAATCCATAATCAGTTTTGTTTTATTTGAAAAATTATTTCCATTTCATAGGATTTTGATTCTGGAATACCTAGTTTTTTTTTTTTTTTTTGTTGTCAACACCTAGTTTTTTTCAATAACTTCGTCATCTTTATAAATATATTTTTTTTTGGAACACATAAATATTATATTCCTCGTTTTGCTTCTCTCTTCTAAACTCTTGTAAAATGACGTTTTCGTTTTCAATAAAATCCAGATGACCAATAAAAAACAGTTTTGGGGTAAAGCGTATATAATCAGATAATCTTTCTAAATTAGTCCATCTTACTATATAATTTATGTTAGGTCCACCAAAAAAACAGTTTTTCTAGATTCCTTTTAACTTATGTTTGATTGGACTCCAGCCACTTGAAAGCCCAACAAAAAAAAAACTGTCACTTAGACTAACCCTACTAAGCTACTCCCCATTTGAATCAAAAGAGAAGAAAGCAAAAAGAGAGAAGTGTCATTAGAAAAACTTAAAGTCCCTTTAAATAAACGATTACAAATCTTTAAACGTTACTTAACTCTCTATCCCATCAAAAACCCCATGAAAATTTCATGAACTGGTTCTCACATTCTCAACTCTCTCTTCCCAAAAACAATGATCAACATTCCCACTTCTCTCTTCTTATTACTCGTCCTTTCCTGTATTCTCCAAGTTTCCTCCAACGGAGACGCTGAGATACTCACTCGAGTCAAAAGAAGCCGGCTTCTTGACCCGGAAGGAAACTTAAATGATTGGCTCATAACCGGAGATAACCGAAATCCCTGTAACTGGACCGGAATCACATGCAACTCCCAAAACGACGCCGTCACAGCCATAGATCTCTCCGACTACGGACTCTTCGGTGGTTTTCCGTACGGATTCTGCCGTATACGTACCCTCATCAACATCACTCTCTCTAAAAACAATCTCAACGGTACGATAGATTCATCTCCTCTCTCCCTGTGTTCTCGAATCCAAGTCCTTATCCTCACGGGAAACATCTTCTCCGGGAAGTTACCGGAGTTTTCGCCGGAGTTTCGTAACCTCCTCGTCCTCGAACTGGAATCGAACTTATTCTCCGGCGAGATTCCCGAAAGCTACGGGAAGTTCACATCTCTGCGACTTTTGAATCTCAACGGTAACTCGCTAGGTGGAATCGTTCCGGCGTTTTTGAGTAACCTAACCGAGTTGACTCGTCTCGAGCTCGCGTACGTCGGTTTCGAGCCCGGTCCGATTCCGGCGACGTTCGGGAGCTTGACGAAGCTGAGTAATCTCCATCTAACTAACTCGAACCTCGTCGGAGAGATTCCCGATTCGATCGGGAATCTAGTTTCGTTAGTGAATCTCGATTTAGCTCAGAACGGTCTCACCGGAGAGATACCGGAGAGTATCGGAAAGCTGAAATCGCTTAATCAGTTAGAGCTTTTCGATAATAAGTTAACGGGAAAGTTACCGGAGAGTATCGGAGACTTAACGGCGATGAGGAATTTTGACGTTTCGCAGAATAATCTAACCGGTGAGTTAACGGAGAAGATCGCTTCTCTTCAGCTCGTTTCATTTCATCTAAACGATAATTTTTTCTCCGGAGAATTGCCACGTGTCATAGCTTTGAATCCTAATCTAGTCGAGTTCAAGATATTTAACAACGGCTTCACGGGAACGTTACCTAGGAGATTCGGTAAATTCTCCGGTTTAACTTTGTTTGACGTGTCAACTAATAAATTCTCCGGTAAATTGCCGCCACATCTATGCTATGGGAAGAGACTCGGAAACCTAATTACTTTCGGTAATCGGTTAAGTGGCGACATTCCGGAATCTTACGGTGAGTGTGGTTCACTTAATTACGTTCGTATGGCTGATAACAAACTTTCCGGTTTAGTTCCGGTTAAGTTTTGGGAGCTTCCTCTTACTCGTCTCGAGCTATCTAACAATCAGTTACAAGGTTCGATTCCTTCGTCGATCTCCAACGCTCGTGTTCTATCTCAGCTCGAGATCTCCGGGAACAAATTCTCCGGTGAGATTCCGGTGAGAATATGCGATCTCGGAGAATTGAGAGTCGTTGATCTTAGCCGTAACCGTTTCTCGGGATCTCTTCCGTCTTGCATTAACCGATTGAAGAATCTGGAGAGAGTGGATATGCAGGAGAACATGATCGCCGGCGAGATTCCGAGTTCAGTGAGTTCATGCGTCAAGTTAACCGAGTTGAATCTCTCGTATAACCGTCTCCGCGGCGGAATTCCACCGGAGATTGGTGAGTTACCGGTTTTGAATTATCTGGATCTCTCTAAGAACCGAATCTCCGGTGAGATTCCGTCGGAGTTATTGAAGCTGAAGCTGAATCAGTTCAACCTCTCTGATAACAAACTCTCCGGGAAGATACCTTCTGGTTTTCAACAAGATGTTTTTAAACAGAGTTTCTTGGGTAACCCGAATCTCTGTGCTACGGATATGGATCCGATTCGACCTTGCCGATCCAAAACCGAGCCCCGGTTAATTCTGGTTATTTCCGTCGTCTGCATCGTTGCACTAATCGGAGCTTTGGTTTGGCTTTTTATTAAAACTAAACCGTTATTCCAGAGAAAACCGAACCGGACTAATAATGTAACCATTTTCCAGCGGATAGAGTTCACTGAGGAAGACATATACCCGCAATTAACAGAAGATAACGTTATCGGTTCGGGCGGGTCGGGTTTAGTTTATAGAGTGACACTCAAGTCAGGTCAAACACTCGCGGTGAAGAAACTGTGGGGTGGACCGGGTCGAAAACCAGAATCCGAGTCTGTTTTCAGATCCGAGGTAGAGATTCTGGGTCGGGTCAGGCATGGGAACATAGTGAAGCTTCTCATGTGTTGCAGCGGCGAGGAGTTTCGGTTTTTGGTTTACGAGTTTATGGAAAACGGTAGCTTGGGCGACGTTTTGCATTCAGAGAAAGAACGTTCTGCCGTTTCTCCGCTTGATTGGACGACACGGTTTTCGATCGCGCTTGGTGCAGCTCAAGGACTTGCTTATCTACATCATGACTCTGTTCCGGCGATTGTTCACCGTGACGTCAAAAGCAATAATATACTGTTGGACCATGAGATGAAGCCACGTGTTGCTGATTTCGGTTTGGCTAAACCGTTGAGAAGAGAAGTTAATAATGGTGTCTCTGATGTTTCTCCCATGTCTTGTGTTGCTGGATCCTACGGCTACATTGCTCCAGGTTCGAATTCTAAACGCTAAACCGAAATAAACCGGAAAACCAAATATTTATTAATGTTGTTTATATTCTGTTGTTGTGATTTTGCACATGCAGAATATGGTTATACGTCGAGAGTGAATGAGAAGAGCGATGTGTATAGTTTTGGCGTAGTGTTACTCGAGTTGATTACCGGTAAAAGGCCAAATGATTCGTCGTTTGGGGAGAATAAAGACATTGTGAAGTTTGCAATGGAGTCAGCTTTGTGTTACTCTTCTCCATCACCTGAAGGCAAAGCTATGAATCAAGATTCACTTGGAAACTTTCGAGACCTTAGTAAGCTCGTGGACCCAAAGATGGAACTTTCTACGAGGGAATATGAAGAGATGGAGAAAGTTCTTGAGATTGCCTTGCTTTGCACGTCGTCGTTTCCGATTAGTAGGCCGACCATGAGGAAAGTTGTGGAGTTGCTCAAAGAGAAGAAGGCACTTGAGTGAGACACTTGATTTTAATACTAGCATTGTTACTTAATTATAGGTGGGCTATTAGAAAACTAATTTAAAAACTTAAACAGCTAATTATTCTGTTTCTTTATGAGTTTAAGATTGAGAAGCATCGACTAATCTATAATATTTTGCAAACTTCACATTTAGTAGTCTAAAAGTGTCATTGCTGCTGATGTTCTCGATAAACCAATGTATAGGCAGACCCATTTACCATTAATCCTCTTGGAATAAACATTGGTGTCACTCATACTCCATAAACATTTTGCATCACCATCAAGAGTGTTTTTGCTGTTGCTTCAAGAAGGATATATGTTCAAGTTTATTCCAAGACTTACATTGAAGACAAAGGCTGATGTCTTTGAATTGTTAATACCTTCTACTCTTGTTCATTTTATCAAAAGGTTTATTGAAGTTAGTCTAAAGATAGTGAAAGCTTCTTTTGGTCCAATAATCTTATTAAGATGCATTAGTATTTTTACATTGATGGAGTTCAAATTTCATAGAATGATTTATTACCAATTATACCGATTAAATAGAAAAAACTTACAAAAAATTGATTATTGTGAAAATATAACTTTTTAGACGTTGATCTTCAAAAATAAGTTAGTGGAGATACATATTCAATTTTCATATGTGAATATCCATAAGACATATGTTAGAGTTCATGATAGCATAAATAAAAATGTTAATCATGAATTTTTGTATGATATGTAGAAATCAATTGTGCAGTTTTGAATGTAATATCAAAATGTTTTTATTTTAAAAACTCTTGGGCCAAAGAATATGGTCTTGAGAAGCAACATTTAGCCCATTAGATTACCAACAGGCCTTCCTTCTTCTGCAACACTGTTCAATTTAGGGCTCCAGAGACGACCACGTCGCCTCTCTGTCACGAATCCGCCAGTGACGCGACGCTATAGTCTTTCACACCCGATAAGCATTAGAAGCGAAACAACGAAACAATTGAAAAAAACGCAACCCGAGGTCGAGAATCAATGGCGTCTAAAGCTATCTTCTCCAAAATCCGCCGATCTCTAACAACCGTCCCCCGCCGCCACCACTTATCCACCTCCGCCGCGACGGCCTCCGAATCCTACGCAAGCGATGAACACGCGATCGTGATGAAAGGAGTTCGAATCTCAGGCAGACCTCTCTACCTCGACATGCAATCAACGACTCCTCTCGATCCCCGAGTCTTCGACGCGATGAACGCCTCCTCCATCCACGACTACGGCAATCCACACTCCCGCACGCATCTCTACGGCTGGGAAGCCGAGAACGCCGTGGAAGTCGCTCGAATCCAGGTCGCGAAGCTCATCGGCGCCTCTCCCAAAGAGATCGTGTTCGTCTCCGGCGCCACGGAGGCGAACAACACCGTAGTCAAAGGAGTTATGCATTTCTACAAGGATAAAAAGAGGCACGTGATCACCACGCAGACTGAGCATAAATGTGTACTTGATTCCTGCAGGCATTTGCAGCAGGAAGGGTTCGATGTGACTTACTTACCGGTTAAAACCGACGGTTTAGTTGATTTAGAGATGTTGAGGGAAGCGATTAGACCGGATACCGGTTTAGTTTCGGTTATGGCTGTGAATAATGAGATTGGTGTTGTGCAACCTATGGAGGAGATTGGAAGGATTTGTAAGGAGTTTAAGATTCCGTTTCATACTGATGCAGCTCAAGCTATAGGGAAGATAGAGGTGGATGTTGAGAAGTGGAATGTTAGTTTCATGTCGATGAGTGGGCACAAGATCTATGGACCTAAAGGTGTTGGTGCTATGTACGTGAGGAGGAGGCCGAGGGTGAGGCTTGAGCCTTTGATGAACGGTGGAGGGCAAGAGAGGGGGCTTAGGAGCGGGACGTTGGCGACGCAGCAGGTTGTTGGGTTTGGTGTTGCTTGTGAGTTGGCGATGAAGGAGATGGAGTATGATGAGAAGTGGGTTAAGAGGTTGCAGGAGAGGTTGTTGAATGGGGTTAGAGAGAAGCTTGATGGGGTTGTGGTGAATGGTTCGATGGAGAGTCGGTATGCGGGGAATTTGAATCTGTCGTTTGCTTATGTTGAAGGAGAGAGTCTTTTGATGGGTTTGAAGGAAGTTGCGGTGTCTAGTGGAAGTGCTTGTACAAGTGCGAGTTTGGAGCCTTCGTATGTGTTGAGAGCTTTGGGTGTGGATGAGGACATGGCTCATACTTCGATTAGGTTTGGGATTGGTAGGTTTACTACGGAGGAGGAGATTGATAGAGCCGTGGAGCTTACGGTTAAACAAGTTGAGAAGTTGAGGGAGATGAGTCCGCTTTATGAGATGGTTAAAGAAGGTATTGATATCAAGAACATACAGTGGTCTCAGCACTGATTCAGCTCAAACCGTGAGGTGCAAGGGGGAAGCTCGGGTCTCCGGTTATACGGGTTGATGTGATCCTGAGTTGTTACTATGTTGTGTTGGTAATTTATCTATGTTTGCTTTCAAGATAGATTCCAAGTGAGAGTGTCTTTTAAATGGTTTTGTAATAAGCAGAACGAACAAAACTTTTGAGTTTCTATGTTGGACTTGCAGAATAAGAAAAGCGAAAACGTTAGTATAACAGTTTGGGCCTAGAAGCGATATATTTTTTCTAGGCCCACTTAAAAATTTTAGGCAATTTTCGTGGGTCAAGTTGTTTAGTACCTCTGGTTTGAATAAATCCATGTAAACTCTCAATATTATCTATCATAAATCTTAGAAGAGACAAGTGTTTGATAAAGATGAGTTAAAAAATTTATAATACTGGCAGACAAGATATATGGGCTGGCTATACACAAAAACACATCTGTCAAGTTACTAAAAGAGATCTTCAAGAATCATTCTCTCTCAATATTAAAATTTCAAATACATTATTATACATATCTCACTTAAGTGAATACAGCAGAGTATGAAATAAAACCGTATCCAAAAAAAAGCAAAGCAATGTTTGTGCTTTTCAAACATCTGTCACCTGAAACAACATGATTACTGAGAATAGACAAGAACTTCATAATAGTATATTGCATCTTTTCTTTCTACACTATTTCCATAGAGGAACATGAACTGGACTGTTCAACTGAGTTATATACCCAAGCAAAGAAGACACCAATATATTGATAGTATTTGTGTAAACAGGCCCGATTCAATATATTTATAGTATAAACACACAAATATCTTAAACAATACACTTGTAAAATTGATACCTTAAAACTTAGATAGTTTTGTTCAAAAAAAAAACTTCGATAGTATAATTTTTTTTTTACAAAATTTGGCTCCTAAAAAGAGTGTTTTCTGAGCTGAAAATCATGTTCATGTCTAGACGAAGAAGATATTCAAATTTCATGCTTTAGTATTTTATATTGAAGATAAAATATTAGGTTTAGTCATTTTTTTTAAACTTAAACATCATTTTGGATACTGAATTGTCTATAAACTGTATGAAGAATGATGTGGCTATGGAAACAAATTGCGTGTGAAATGGGTGAAGAATTCGACATTGATTTGTGGGGTTTAAGCTCAATGAGTGACAGCTTAATTCTACTTTGCAACTTGACGTGTATTTACTGTAATTATATACTAATCATAATTGAGCTAACTCATGTGTTTCATGAGATTTTTTCTTTCTTTCTGAAATTTATTTGGAGTACAAAATTTAAGTGCTGTATACTTGAGGAAAATCTTTTTAAACTCACTATGCTTCTAGCGACTAGAGGAGACGCAGAACTCATGCAAAAGGATGTCATGATTATCTCATGATTACGATACAGAAACATGTATCAAAAGAAGGCTAGTTCACAGAATTAGAAAATACTTTTTTTAAATATTACTTTATCTAATGACGATATTTTATTCCACAAAAGCATATGATAAACACAGTGAATAACACCTCAATAATTTGAGGACTTTACATTTTTTCAAAGTGCTTTGACTTTTAACCCTTTAACCATCAACAAGTCAAGTCAACCTTTTTGTTTCCTCTACAAGCCTCAATTAACTTGACAATGAACCAATTAAAAGTAATTTACAAGTCCAATGATTATTTGTTTTTGAGTTGCATATTATTTATAGGCCGATCAAGATATTAATGAAGTATATTCAATCGTATTTCACTTATTTTACAAATATTAATTTATAATAAACAATACACCCAATTTGACCATTATTTATTTGACATAAAAACAAAGATAGAAAAAGATGTTAACCATATACGTTTATACGAGAAGGTCCATAAATTGTGACGCCACTTTATAGAGGTAGTGGGGTTTCTTGTTTCTTAATCTCAGCTGCCGTGGAAAACTAGTGTGATTATTAGTACTTACTTTTAAGTTATAACATCCCTATCAAATCTTTGATTTAACTTTCAATTTGATCCATGGGATAGGCGTCATTAGGTTCAAATTTAATACTGAATGATTATTAAGTGACTGCATTTTCAGTTGAATTAAACAAATCCATGCATCTATCAAGCTATTATATACATATTTTTAAATCAAGATATTATATATTCTCACCGTGAGTTTGAAAACTTTTCATCTTAGAATCCCTTTTATATTATAGAAAAATATATGAACCAGAAAACTATTAGTATCCCTACAAGTCCTTTTTTTTTTTTTGAAAATTGTATCCCTACAAGTCTTAGTGATAAAATTAATTGAAACCCTTTCTAGAAAAAAGAAGTCTTATTAGTGGTAAAAAATTTCCAAGGGTTGGCAAAATTTTGTTCACCAACTATAACGGAATTCACTCAGAAAATTTATTATCTCTACCTTTCATTTCATCTCTTTTGGTACATATCATCAACTCCTATCCTTTTCAGAAAATAATATATATTAAATAAAATAGCAAGTGATTCATCATCCACCCAATGTGATCCTATGATTGGTGATATTTTTTGGACAACTTAATTGATGTAATGAAAAAATTATCTTGAATATATATATTTTTTTTAAAAAATCAAGAATACTTTGATATACTATGGATAATTCGGATTTTTACTATCTAGGACCATTAGTTAAGTATTCGAATAAGATACTAGTCTTTTGTTTAAAAAATGTATGTGAAAAGACCTTTTTCTTTTAATTGATACAACAAAGACGTAGGATGGTCCATTAAATAAGACTTATATTAGATGTACATAAAATATCAAGTGTTCTCATATTAATATATTGATCAGTGAGATATTGCTCAATGGGTTTGTGTAAAATGAATTATAATTTTTTTTAGTTTATTACACATTCCTATCATCAAACATTCGAAGTATCTGTCTACATTTCTACAACATATAATACATCCCTTTGTACTATACTACATAACAATTACTAAAAATATTGACTATATACATATATATAGTCATGTGTACGTACAACACACAAGTCTAATCCAATCACATCTCAGCTCTAATTTTTGAAGAATATTTGAATTGTTTTAGTATTCTTGATGACCAAGTCCATCACATGTAATGAAAGTACACAAAATCGGTCTTCTTTCTTTTTCGTAAGCTGCCATGCAAGTGGGGCTTCAAGCTTTCGTAATATCTTACGTAATAACTATATATACACTTCCGACTGATATGCATATTATTTCATCCAGATGAATTTGAATATTTCCCTCTCGCAAGCCATTACTATTTATTTATATTATACTATTTTAGTTAATCACACGATCCTAAACTGCGTATCAGATATGATCAAAAACTAAATAATTAAAAAAAAACTAAATAATTTAAAAAGTAGTGATTTACTTGTTATATAGGAGTTGAATGTGATGAAACCTATAGCGTGTAATATCATAAATAAATATTATATAGACGTATACGTTTACTAGAAACATAGAAGAGCGGAAATTAAAAAGAACGATAGCATAACGAATACTTTTCAACATTAGGCTCCAGCCTATGCAGTATACACTTCTGAGTCTAATATATAACATATATATATATATATATTTTTGAACACATGTTCTTTTTTTCACAAGTAAAAAGTAAATATAAACTTAGAATTAGAAGCAGCTCATGCAATCATATTACAAAATATTTTGTACATGTCCATCTTGTTTTTCAACTTAATTTTTTCACATTCATTAAATAGATTTGCTTGAATGATCATCCATCAAGAAATGAGAAACATGTTTGACGTGAAATTGAAATGGGCACATCCTAAAATAAATTCATGAACAGGAAGACGATAGAAAGAGTCAACGAGTAGCGGGCGGCTACGAAAACAATACCAGTTCATGGGGCTTATGATTTAAAACAGTATAACAAAAATAAATATTGTCTTTGTTAAATTAGTAATGATAAATGATATTGAATCTCTAGATTCTGATGTATGAACAAAGACAAAGGAGAAAAACATTAGTCTCCCCCTTCTCTGCCACTTCTAAATTCTAATAATATCTTCTCACAATATATCATGAAAATTTTCAAATCCATAAAGTCACTTTTGGATTAATTTTTATTTTAATCCCTTACTTTTTGACATCTTCAATCACATGAAGGACAAACTCCTCCAGGCTCCAGCTATTATATACTCTCTAACCTTTTTATTTTCTACATTCACATATACTTTTCTCCATTACACACACTTCGATGTATGCATATATAATAACCTCACACACGCACCATCACACACCATCCTCCTCCTCTTCATTATCAACATAATTGAGAAAGAGAGATAGAGAAACAACAAGAATATATAAGATCAAGATCGTCAAGAATCAATAAGATGGGAAGGGCACCGTGTTGTGACAAAGCCAACGTGAAGAAAGGGCCTTGGTCTCCCGAGGAAGATGCCAAACTCAAAGATTACATTGAGAATAGTGGTACAGGAGGAAACTGGATCGCTCTGCCTCAGAAGATTGGTATATACTTAAATCAATTAATTTTTTTTTTAATTTCAACACAAAATTTCAAATTATTTGAGACGGTTTGTATAGTCTTAAAGTAACTTTTGGTTCAAATATTAACAGAAATATCAAATAATTTGAGACAATAAAACACATATTTTCTGTATATATATATATATGTGCGTATTGATATATAAATGTTGATGTATAATTTTATATACATGGTTTAGGTCTAAGGAGGTGTGGGAAGAGTTGCAGGCTAAGGTGGCTCAACTATTTGAGACCAAATATCAAACACGGTGGCTTCTCTGAGGAAGAAGACAACATCATTTGTAACCTCTATGTTACTATTGGTAGCAGGTACTTTGCACTTATCTTGTATATCATATGGTGAGTAATATCAATTTATGATTCTCGTATTAAATATATGTTCAATGAATTTCTGTAAGGTGGTCCATAATTGCTGCACAACTGCCGGGAAGAACGGACAACGATATCAAGAACTATTGGAACACGAGGCTGAAGAAGAAGCTTCTAAACAAACAAAGGAAAGAGTTCCAAGAAGCTCGGTTGAAGCAAGAGATGGTGATGATGAAGAGACAACAACAACAAGGACAAGACCATATCAATGGTAGTACGGATCTTTATCTGAAAAACATGTTTGGATCATCACCATGGCCATTACTACAACAGCTTCCTCATCATCAAATACCTCTTGTGCTGATGGAACCAACAAGCTGTAACTACTACCAAACGTCACCGTCTTGTAACTTGGGACAAGAGCCATTGATTACTCTCAAGAACATGGTCAAGATTGAAGAAGAACTGGAGAGAACAAACCCTGATCATCATCAGCATCAAGATTCTAGCACAAACTCTTTTGATGTCTCCTTCTCCCAGCTTTTGTCAGATCCTTATTACTACTTAGGATCAGGAGGAGGAGGAGAAGGAGAATTTGCTATCATGAGTAGCAGCACAAATTCTCCATTACCAAACACAAGTGGTGATCAAAATGAACATCAGCAGCAAGAGATTCTTCAATGGTTTGGGAGTAGTAATCTTCAGACAGAAGCAAGCAACGATATGTTCTTAAACAACATACCGAACCTTGAGACCAACGAGGACACAAAATTCTACTCATCATTAGCCGACGCTGGAGCGGCTTTGGCCGGAACGACGAGTACATCGGCAGATCAAAGCACAATAAGTTGGGAGGACATAACGTCTCTTGTTAATTCCGAAGATGCAAGTTACCTCAATGGGCCTCATTGATTATGTGTGTTTTATTTTTAAAATACCTATATATATATATAAAGAGGAGTTTTCATTTTGTATAAATCTTGTATCTTTAGGGGGTCGGCCGATTAATTATATGGACTAAGATTAATGTTCATGCAGAGATTTGGTTATTTTAGTTTCGACTTAGCTTTATTCACGAACATTATATATGATCTTTTGAGTTTTTCTTTATGGTTAATGATCTTATAATTTTGAAAGATTCTACCTTTTAGCTTCTTTCTTTTTCCCTAATTATTTAGGTGTTAGATATTTTATAGTTTTTGCAGATTACACTACCTCTGACACATAAGGAAACAGCTATGAATCTGAGGCCTAAAAGAGGACTGTCTTTTAGACGCACTAACATCGATCACCAAATTACTCATTATATTTATAGGACTAAACAGTTCTTCACTATCTTTTTTTAGTTCTTCAATATCTTAATAAAACTAAAGTTCATATATAAATTTTAATGTACATCAATACCATTAGTTATCTTTAGTGATAGATAACCCAAGGATGATTTTCTGCCATGTTTTATATTCAACTCCCCAAGTGCCTATATATATAAATATAATATACTTATGTGCATATGCATGAATTTAAGTACATAGATATGTCATTTATAACAGTGGATACATTTTGGATAGTAAAAAAAGAGTCATTTATGATCAACCAGTTTTTTTTGGTTATATACTAGGTAAAGAACTCGTGCGATATCGCACGGAGACTCATTTTATAAAAATAAATATATCCTACTGTATAGCTTATATTTTTATTAAAATACTGTTCATTTTTTTCAACGAAGTATTTGTAACATGTGTACAATGTAGATTACATGTGTCTATATTCATTTATAGATTATATATATATATTTCAGTTTAATTAAATCTGATTTCTAATCATATAAACTAATTTTTAGGATAAATATATTTATATTGTTTTCGTATAAAACCAAATAAACCAAACCAAACCAAATTAAATATGAATCCAATATGATAATTAATTTTTATAAACTGAAATAACGAAAAACTAAAAAAAAAAAATCCGAAATCGGACCAAAATCCGGAATGAACATATCTAGATAAATGCATTAGAAGAAGTTTGTCAGCCCATTCAGTAGATATAAATGTTAAATTGGTAATAAGTAGATTAAAATAAAGAACCAAATATGAAAACATGAACAAATTTGTTGAAAATAAAATTTTGAAGTCGATCGCGAGTTTGTTATGTTTAAATATTTTCGTTATCAATTTAGTCTAAAAATATATTCATGGTACATGGTCATCATATTTAACTTTCCATCGCGTAGTTTATTTAAACTTGATATACGATCTAGTTAGTGTCATAACCCTTATAAAATATCTATTTTGTAGAGAAATGGGAACACAGAAGGTCTCAAACCTCTTTAATCGACATAATATGTAAGTTAATGATGCAAATATGCATTAAAACAAAAATAAAAAAAATTTCTAATTTTTCTTGAAAATTTGTGGGTTAACCCCTTTGAAAAAATTTAATTTTCTGATAAATGCTTTAATATATTTTAGACACTTTATTGTTGTTTAAAATATTAAACCACACTCTAGATGTAGATTATGTATGTTAAACATATTTTCACGGTACATGGTCATTATATCTGACTTTCCAATGAGTAATTTTTTTAAACTTGATGTACGATCTAATTAGTGTACTAAACCGTATAAAATCTCTGTTTTCTAGAGAAATGAGAACGCAGAAGGTCTCAACCCTCTTTAATCTTCATAATATGTCACTTCATGATACAAATATGCATTAAAACAAAAATAAAAAAAAATTTCTAATTTTTCTTGAAAATCTGTGGGTTAACCCCTTTGAAAAAATTGAATTTTCCGATAAATGTTGTCTATAACTTTTAGACACTTTAGTGTTGTTTAAAAATACCAAACCACATTCTTAATGTATATTAATTTAGTCTAACCATATTTTCATGGTACATGGTCATCATATCTAACTTTCCATCGTATAGTTTATTTAAACTTGATATACGATCTAGTTAGTGTCATAACCCTTATAAAATATCTATTTTGTAGAGAAATGAGAACACAAAAGGTCTCAAACCTCTTTAATCTTCATAATATGTAAGTTAATGATGAAAATATGCATTAAAACAAAAACAAAAAAATTTCTAATTTTTCTTGAAAATCCGTGGGTTAACCCCTTTGAAAAAATTGAATTTTCCAATAAATGTTGTCTATAACTTTTAGACACTTTAGTGTTGTTAAAAATACCAAATCACATTCTTAATGTATATTAATTTAGTCTAAACATATTTTCATGGTACAAGGTCATAATATCTAACTTTCCATCCCATAGTTTATTTAAACTTGATCTACGATCTAGTTAGTGTCATAACCCTTATAAAATATCAATTTTGTAGAGAAATGGAAACACGGAAGGTCTCAAACCTCTTTAATATTCATAATATGTAAGTTAATGATGCAAATATGCATTAAAACAAAAATAAAAAAAAATTCTAATTTTTCTTGAAATCTGTAGGATAACCCCTTTGAAACAATTGAATTTTCCGGTAAATGTTGTCTATAATTTTAGACACTTTATTGTTGTTTAAAAATATTAAACCACACTCTATATGTATATTAATGTATGCTAAAAATATTTTCATGGTACATGGTCACCATATCTGGCTTTCCAATGAGTAATTTATTTAAACTTGATATACGATCTAATTAGTGTACTAACCCTATAAAATCTCTATTTTCTAGAGAAATGAGAACACAGAAAATCTCAAACTTCTTTAATATTCGTAATATGTCAGTTCATGATGCAAATATGCATTAAAAAAAAATAGAAAAACTTCTAATTTTTCTTGATATTTGTGGGTTATCACCTTTGAAAAATTGAATTTTCCGAGAAATGTTGTCTGTAATTTTTAGACACTTTATTGTTGTTTAAAAATATCAAACCACATTCTTAATGTATATTAATTTAGTTTAAACATATTTTCATGGTATACGGTCATCATATCTAACTTTCCAATGCGTAGTTTATTTAAACTTGATATAGGATCTAATTAGTGTCCTAACCTCTATAAAATCTCTATTTTCTAGAGAAATAGGAACACATAAGGTCTCAAACCTATTTAATATTCATTATATGTCAACTAATGATAAAAATATGAATAAAAACAAAAATAAAAAAATTTCTAATTTTTCTTGAAATATGTGGGTTAACACCTTTGAAAAAATTGAATTTTTTGATAAATGCTATCTATATTTTTAGACACATTAGTGTTGTTTAAAAATACCAAACCACACTCTAAATGTATATTAATATTAATGTATTCATAATATGTAAGTTAATGATGCAAATATGCATTAAAACAAAAATAAAAAAATTTCAATTTTTTCTTGAAATTTGTGGGTTAACCCCTTTGAAACAATTGAATTTTCCGGTAAATGTTGTCTATAATTTTTAGACACTTTACTGTTGTTTAAAAATATTAAACCACACTCTATATGTATATTAATGTATGCTAAAAATATTTTCATGATACATGTTCACCATATCTGACTTTCCAATGAGTAATTTATTTAAATTTGATATACGATCTAATTAGTGTACTAACCCGTATAAAATCTCTATTTTCTAGAAAAATGGGAACGCAGAAGGTCTCAAACTTCTTTAATATTCATAATATGTCAGTTCATGATGCAAATATGCATTAAAACAAAAATAAAAAAAATTCTAATTTTTTTGATATTTGTGGGTTAACACCTTTGAAAAATTGAATTTTCCGAAATGTTGTCTATAATTTTTAGACACTTTATTGTTGTATAAAAATATCAAACCATATTCTTAATGTATATTAATTTAGTCTAAACATATTTTCATGGTATATGGTCATCATATCAAACTTTCCAACGCGTAGTTTATTTAAACTTGATATAGGATCTAATTAGTGTCCTAACCTCTATAAAATCTCTATTTTCTAGAGAAATAAGAAAACATAAGGTCTCAAACATATTTAATATTCATAATATGTCAACTAATGATGCAAATATGAATAAAAACAAAAATAAAAAATTTCTAATTTTTCTTGAAATATGTGGGTTAACACCTTTGAAAAAATTGAATTTTTCGATAAATGCTATCTATATTTTTAGACACATTAGTGTTGTTTAAAAATACCAAACCACAATTTCAATGTATATTAATATTAATGTATTCTAAAAATGATTTCATGGTACATGGTCATCATATCTAACTTTCCAGCGCGTAGTTTATTTAAACTTGATATACGATCTAATTAGTGTCCTAACCTCTATAAAATCTCTATTTTTTACAGAAATAGGAACACAGAAGGTCTCAAACCTATTTAATCTTCATAATATGTAAGTTAATGATGCAAATATGCATTAAAACAAAATACTTTTTTTTTTTAATTTTTCTTGAAATCTGTGGGTTAACACCTTTGAAAAATTAAATTTTACGATAAATTTTAATATATTTTTAGTCACTTTATTGTTGTTTAAAAATACTGAACCACACTCTAGATGTATATTAATGTATGCTAAATATAGTTTCATGGTACATGGTCACTACATCTGACTTTCCAATGAGTAATTTTTTGAGACTTGATATACGATCTAATTAGTGTACTAACCCGTATAAAATATCTATTTTCTAGAGAAGTGGGATCGCAGAAGTTCTCAACCCTTTTTAATCTACATAATATGTTAGTTCATGATGCAAATATGCATTAAAACAAAAATAAAAAAAATTCTAATTTTCTTGAAAATCTGTGGGTTAACCCCTTTGAAAAAAATGAATTTTCAGATAAATGTTGTCTATAACTTTTAGACACTTTAGTGTTGTTTAAAAATAACAAACCCATTTCTTAATGTATATTAATTTAGTCTAACCATATTTTCATGGTACATGATCATCATATCTAACTTTCCATCGCGTAGTTTATTTAAACTTGATATACGATCTAGTTAGTGTCATAACCCTTATAAAATATCTATTTTGTAGAGAAATGGAAACACGGAAGGTCTCAAACCTCTTTAATATTCATAATATGTAAGTTAATGATGCAAATATGCATTAAAACAAAAATAAAAAAATTCTAATTTTTCTTGAAATCTGTTGGTTAACC